AATTTTCATTTTGGTGTTCCTATTTAAAATTCTAGAGTTCTCTAATTTAAAATGTAAATTGAGCCCTTGGTTTTAAATAGTCATAGGATGACTTATGTGATGTGAATACAAATCAATGCTAATGTAATATATTTTAATACCTGAGCACTTGCTGAAATAAAGTTGGAAGGTACATTATTTTTATACTTCCTATTTCGAAATACTACAGAATTGTGTACTTACTCCAAAACCCTGTGCACTTTTGGCCTATCCTATTTAGCACATGAAAGAAAAGCTATTTAACAGTGAGAAGTTATTAAAGGATTAATATATCTTAAGTGATCACCTTCCTATAAGACTTAAGATAGTGCAAAATCAACCATGAAACTACAAAAGGACAGAGGAAAATTTAAAACTGCATTTAAATGATTTTAAGTTGCTTCTCAAGAAAAAAAGATTTTAAACTATTTTTTAACAAAATTTAAATATTTTCCAAATTTTATTGTTTAAATAGACTTGTTTTTAGAAAAATTCCTTGCATTGGAGTAGGGAGGTACTGTGTCTTCCATCCTCTTCCTTATTGAAAATGCCTTTAATAACATTGTCTTGAGTCAGAGGAAAAGCAAAGGCTCTTAAGAAAACAATAAAGCTTGAAACCTGTTTTAGAATACAGCAAGGACATGGTAGTTACACGGTAAAGGGAATGTTCTTTTTTTTTTTTCATGACAGAGTCTTGCTCTGTCACCTAGGCTGGAGTGCAGTGGCGCAAACTTGGCTCACTACAACCTCTGCCTTTAGGATTCAAGTGATGCTCCTGCCTCAGCCTCCTGTGTAACTGGGATTACTGGGGCACGCCACCATGCCTGGCTAATTTTTGTATTTTTAGCAGAGATGGGGTTTCACCATGTTGGCCAGGCTGGTCTGAACTCCTGACTTCAAGTGATCCACCCTCCTTGGCCTCTCAAAGTGCTGGGATTACAGGTGTGAGCCACCGTGCCAGGCCAAGAGAATTTTATATCAAAATAATTTCTAGCTGGGCTTCACAATCCAATTCACAAACCCCTTACATTTTAGCATTGATACTGTAATAGAGAATTAGCAAAACCTTCCTCATTGCTTCATAAGGATCAACAATATGTGAAAGCAGGGTAGATCACCTTCTTATATGACTTAAGATAGTGCTTCACAAAATCAACCACAAAACTACAAAGGGACAGAGGAATATGCCTATGTACTGAAGGGGGTCTGGAGACCTAATCTGGAGTCCTATTGTAAGAAAAATGTATTTTAAAATTAATATTTTATTGTAAAAATTAAGGCAATTGTTACATTCTACTCTGTGATGGTTAATACTGAGTGTCAACTGGATTGGATTGAAGGATACAAAGTATTGATTCTGGGTGTGTCTGTGAGGGTATCCCCAAAGGAGATTAACATTTGAGTCAGTGGGCTGGGAAAGGCAGCACCACCCTAAATCTGGGTGGGCACTATCTAATCAGCTGCCAGCACAGCTAGAATATAAGCAAGCAGAAAAATGTAAAATGAGAAACTGGCCTAGCCTCCCAGCCTACATCTTTCTATCTCTGGGTGGGCGGCTAAGGTGGTGGCAGTGCCAGCTGAGGGGCACCGAGGCAGGAGAAAGATGTAGGCTGGGAGGCTAGGCCAGTTTCTCTTTGCTTCTTGCTTACGTTCTAGCTGTGCTGGCAGCTGATTAGATCACACCCACCCAGATTAAGGGTGGGTCTGCCTTTCTCAGCCCACTGACTCAAATGTTAATCTCCTTTGGGGATACCCTCACAGACACACCCAGGATCAGTACTTTGCATCCTTCAGGCCAATTAAGTTGATAGTATTAACCATCACATACTCATAATTTAAGTTTCAAAACTTTATGATTGTTTATACTACTTGGTTCAGAGTGAAACAGATGTTCCATAAAATGACTATGATTTTCTGAGGGTTATGTGTTTATTGGCAGTTGTCTTGTAACCTGGTTTTAAAAGCACTGACTTATAAAGGACCACAGGATCCTCCCACTTAAAGATATTTCCCCAAGAAGCTGTCTTTTATCCTCCCTCCCGCCTTCTCTCTGAAAGGGATTATAAATGACCAACAACATAAAAAGACACATTTACACTACAGAAAAAAATGGTTTTCATCCCAATTTATCTGACAACACATTAGTGCCTGCCATACAGTGTAAGGAGTGTGGTCTTTGAAGACAGAATGATATGCACTTTAATTCCATGTCTAGCACGTCTGTGAAAGACCTTGGGGGAAATCTTTCATCTCAGTTTAGCCACCAGTTTTTGAGCTATCCACTTAGCTTCAGGATAACCAGGATTGCTTATCCTGAGTATGGATAGCAATACTCGGCTCATGATGCTACTGTGCAAATGTAAAGACTGTGTATGTAGAGTGCCTGGCAGAGTGCATTTACTCGTTCAGCAAAAATTACCTGCTTTCTCACTCTGTGCTAGCCACTATGATAAGCACTGAGGTGGAGCTCTAAACAGACATGGCCCCTGGCCTCCAGGAGCTCAGGCGCATATGAGATAGAAACAGAAACAAAAAGAGCATACTAATAAAGAAGTGAGACAATCTCATATATTAGTAATTAAGCAGTGTGATGTGTCAATGATGTAGTGGAGATGGATCACCCTGGCTTGGCTAATGAGAGCTATTTATTTGCATTTCTTCTCAACTCTGCATTTAGTGATGTCACCTTGGTTGACTGAAATTGGCTGTGGTGGGGTTGTTTGCACCAGAAAAATCATCCAGGGCTACAAATCAGCCAGCCCTCCATTGCCTTACTGTCCCAGAAAGCCTGCTGTTAAACGTTTGCCAGCATGCTGCAGGGTGTATGTGACAGGGATAAGCCTGGATGGTACATAGATAAGATGGTTATGCCTCCATGAGGAGACACATTTGGTATGAGAACTTAGTGATAAGGAGAAGTTTCTTGCAGATTCAGGAGCAGAGAGCACTTTAGGCAAATAGACTAGCAAAAGCAAAGGCTTGAAATGTTAAAGAACTGATATATAAACAAAATCATTTTTGAGAGTCATAATTTTTGAGACAGTACCAAATTGATTGGTGTTGTAGGGAGTGACTGGGGTCTTGAGCTTTTAGGTATTCAACAGGTAACATTAATTGTCAAAACTGGCTTTTGGTCCAGACAATCTAGAACCCAGAGAGTTCTACTGGCTTATGTAAGGTAAGCTACATCAAATTATAACTCTCTGCTTAGAACTTTACTTCATCTAATCTTTATAACAAACTTATTAGGCAAGTAAAGAAAAGGTTACCTGTGTTTCTTAACCCCTACAGCTAATTATTACATAGGCTGGAATTGGAACTTTAGTCTCGGCAGCCTCAAGGCTCACATTCAGTTCTAGTCTGTTTCAGTGAGACATTTGGAGAAAAGAAAGGAGAGTCAGACAGAAAAGGGACATGTCAAAAATGCTTTCACTGGGGTAGGGGGGAGCAGAGGGGGAGAAACAACTAGACTAAGGGTCCCAAAGGAAAACCCAGAAACTGGACCAAAGATGAGGAGTCTGAAGAAAGTAGTTGCCAAAAAGAACTATACAATAGTGAAACCAGGACTGACAACAGACTTCTCCTACATTTGCCAAGAGAGGATGTTGATCCCAATCTGTACAGTCCCTTTACCCTGGTTTAATCTTTGGCTCATCTTTCAGAAAATTAACTATTTGTGGGCCTAAAATTTAGGTGTGAATTTTGAAGAGTATTTTTTCCATATTAGTTGAAAATATACTTCTACTTGGATATTATATATAACACATACTTTCAAAAGTTTGAGGCTTTTATCTCACTAAAATAAATTTATGATGTTAATTACCATTTTCTTTTTCTTTTTTTTTTTTTGAGACAGAGTCTTGCTCTGTCACCAGGCACCAGGCTGGAGGACAGTGGCACAGTCTCGGCTCACTGCAATCTCTGCCTCCTGGGTTCAAGCAATTCTCCTGCCTTAGCCTCCCTAGTAGCTGGGACTACAGGCACATGCCACCACACCCAGCTAATTTTTATATTTTTTAGTAGAGTCAGGGTTTCACCATGTTGGCCAGGATGGTCTTGAACTCTTGACTTCGTGATCCGCCCACCTCAGCCTCCCAAAGTGCTGGGTTTACAGGCGTGAGCCACTGCGCCCAGCCGATTAATTACTATTTTCTTACCTTTTTCTCACAAGTGGATAGGAATAATTCATGCCGCTTTATCTCCAGTTTTTTATTCTTTAAGTTTATCCTCATTATTGGATGCATGAATAATCTTTAGTTATATTTTTATTGATTTTTTATTACTAAACAACACAGCTAGAACCTGCTATTAATGTTTAATATTCCATATTGTCCACAATCCATAAAAAAAGTATTGAAATATTGATGGATATTTTATAACATTATAGTATGGGTTTCCATTTTTTGGTACAATAAATGAGTGATTTTGCAGTAGAATTTCTAGGAAGCTCTTGATAATGTATAACAGCAGTGGAAATGATTTGTTTTCATACTCAAATCATGGCTATAAAATATGCTTTGTTATTGCAGTAAATAGTAACATATTCAAATAATTTTCTTCTTAGTAATTTGCATTTTTTTAAATTAGGAAAACAGATGTAACAGGAATATTTCAGGCAAATAGGAAAATAGAAAGGCAAAGGAAATAGGATTCCTGGCACCCATTTCTTGTATATTATTTAAATATATTTTCTTCTTTTTTTTTCTGCAAAGTACAGTGACAGATTTAAACATGAAGAAAGTAAAATCTAACCCCACCTGCTCAAGCCAGAAGCATTTTAGCCTGGAAGGAGGGATGAGGCTTGGGATGAGAGGTGGGGTGAGAGGCAATAGGAGGGAGGTGAAGGACAGTGGTTCTGAATGCACTAGTGAGTACATCCAAGGATTACTGAACCTGAACATGGGCTAGAGCTTTTCTCCATGAGGAAATAGTAAGCCTGATGCATACTCCTGTCCACAGTTAGAAAAGACATTTGATCATACCTGAAGTGCAAGTCTTTAAAGGAGAATTGGGTTTCAATAATTCCGGTCGTTTTCACTCGAGAATGAAGAACATCTTGTTCATTTGGCACATACCCAGATGCTGTTATTCTATCCAAATCATTAAGGTAGCTAACAAAGACAAAACAAAATTATATATGTGTATATAATATGTGTGTGTGTGTGTGTGTGTGTGTGTGTAAACTTTGCATTTGAAGAGACCAGGATTCAGTACAAATGAAATTTTAGTGTAGGGTTTATTAAAAATGATAAATTCTAGACTGGTGCTTTCCAAACTCTGCTCATCAGAATTAAAAGTTGGGCAGCTGGAATGCTGCAGAACCTCAGAGTGCTGAATGTGACACACAGCTGAACCCCCCCCCCCGCCCCGTGTCCTCCCTAAAGGCACCTAAATCAACACTCCCCTAAACTGTATTTTATGAGGTTTATGTGATAAATTTGCCTGCATATGGATAGGAGTATGAAATAAAATTTCTTTGTAGGACCTGAATCATTACAAAACTAAAAGCTGTCTTACAGTGCTAGTTGCTAGATTATCCTCAAAATTCTATAGTTTGAATTTAGGCATTTGGGTTTTATGAGAGTGATTGGTTTTAATGTCCCTATTTGAAGATTGAATGCATTTGCCTCATCAGAACTCAGCCATTTCCATTGAATGCTGTTGCAACATCTAGTTAGCACAATAAGAGAAGCACAGTTTGTCTCTCTTCCTGGTCTATGCTGGAAGTGACTCATGAATTTGCAGACCCACCCTGACCTGGCTCTCCTGGGGAGAGAAGGCTGAACTCACCCGCTGTCCCCACTCCCACCTCCTCTTCCATCAGTGCGTGGCTGTATCTTTACGCCTTCCAGAAGCTATATTAAAAATTCCTAGTATTATCAGGCTGAATGTTGTGTTTTTTCTCCTCACAGGATCTAGGTGTGGTGATGAACAGGAATAAGTCTAATTAAACTGTGTATGCTATAACTGTTCATTAGTCTGTCAAATTAGAGGAAAAAAACACCTGCTTTCAGCTTCCTAATCCTTGAAACCAGATGTCTTTATACTAAAAGTATTTTATTGTTATAAAAGTAATTTGAAAACCACTGGTCTAGACTTATGATACCAAGGCTTTAGTGGCTTAGCAATATCCCTATTTCTGTAGAAATTTTAAATACAAAGAGTAATAGCATGGAAATGCTTTTATGATGAATTTCACCATTACACTGAATCACATTATAGAAAGATAAGATTGGAGTGCTTCCGTCGAGGCAGAATTTGTGAGGTAGAATCCAGCTAAATGTCAGTGTTAAAAATTGTTTGTTCAATGATTAAATTGAGAAGCTGTTATGCCTTAGCACCTAGCACAAAGATTTTAAAAAACAAAACTTTTATTTAAAAAAATGCATTGTTAATATAGGTAATTTATTTTTGGAGGATCTTTTTCCTTTTAAGCTGAAACAAATTAAGGGTAGACAAGTGTCCCAAATGGATTTCGGCCAAGAGTAAAATCACACCTCAAGAAACACACAACATATATAATAGGAAAATGTATCACTATTGTTTTAGTCTAAAAAAGTTTAAGTTTTCTTTTTAAAAAAAGAATGACACATCAAGATATAAATGTATTGGAGAAAGTACTGTCAGAATTTGCTAATGTATTTATTTTCTATTTTGGCAAGCAAATCCCTTTGCCTACATATGTGGTAGGTATATCGTTGGTTAGTTCATGCAAGAGTAAAAAGAAAACAAAAAAACCAAAAGCATACCTACCAAAATAAAATTTAAATTCATTTCATGATGGCTAAATGAAAACTTTGGTAAGGACACATTTATTTGCATGTATAAATGATTTCAAGCAAAGCAGAAGCATTAGCAAACTGACAGATTTGCATTTAAAATGCTTGTTTAAATAAACAAATAAAGAAGTGGGTGTTAAAGCTTATGATCTAAAGCTTAGACCAAATAGAGACCCTCAATATATATGACTCTAATCATTTAAAAGTACTCAGTACTTTTCCAATCATTTAAACAAGTATTTTTCCTGATGAAGTCCATAATAATTCTTAAAGCACATGGAATTTAAAAGGCACACTAGATGGCTGCAATTAGTTAACAGTCAACTAAAATGTTTCCTCTGATTGTCCCTGCCATACCCCTCTTCTTTCAATTTGCTAAAACTGATGAGGCTGTTATGTTGCCAACTGTGATATTCTTTCCCCTTATTCTGATTATATTCACTTTTTTGTTAGTCTTAACTTGAAGGCTCTCTAGATTTGAGAAAACAAGAAATATCTTACTGTCACCAAAAATTAAAAATAAAAAAGTGTTAGAGACCTTGCTCTATATAATGTATATGAAATAGACTCACATTGTAGTACCAATCTCATTTTATATTTTGTTTTACAATGTAATTCAATATTTGAAAATTAAAATTCTGCTTTTAATTTTTGGAAGAAAGCAATGACCATTCAACTACCTTTCTCAGCAAGGTTTCCTTTTAAGGACACCTAAGAGCAGGAAAAAAACAAACAAACAAAAAAAAAACCCACTGAATTTATTTAATTATTTACTTATTTAGGTTTATGTATGAAATTCTCTGAGACACAGGGAAAATCAGCTTTTCTGTTATTATATTGCACCTGCAATAATCTGGGTAGTCAAAAACTATTACAATATGGGCAACATTTCCAAAATCAATGCAAATTGATACTGTTTAATTGTTTTCAGCTTGAAGAACAGATTTAAAAATTTACAATGAATGTATAAGGGAGTAGCTACTCCCAGTGTGAAACATACTTTAAGTATTTAAATTAAGGGAAAAGCTAAAATTAAAGACTAGAAAGTACAATAAACTGTCACTTATTTGCCCATTTTAACTATGTGGTTTGTACAAGACTAAATATATTAATGAACGCCCACTTTAATCTATCTTTCTCTCTGGCTCTCTCCCCAGAGCTTTACTAAACAAGATTTTATGGAATATTCTACAATTTAGCTTCTTACTCTTTGTGACTACCCTTACCAATGAATAGTACAGAAAAGCAATGTTTTACTACACTGCAGAGATCCCTTTTACTATTAAAATGTGGTAGGTGCTGAGATACTTAGGAAAAGTTATTCAAGTTAATATAATCACAAAACAAGACTCATTCTCTCCTTCATCAGAGAGCTAGGAGCAACTCTTTCCTTCAAAAGCAATGTGCCCTTTGAAATTGAGGTCTAAAATAAAGATGAATAAATAATTACAGAAGATTGTTTTCCCTAGAATTTATATAGCTTATTTTCTCTCCATAATCATTGTGTCCATCAGGGATTAAAAATCTGAAGGGTTGTCCAAGCTTCATTGTTCTGTCCTTAACTGATCTTTTCCATTTGTTTCATTTTTATGTTACTATTTTGTTTTTGTTTAATTAAATAATGCTAGCAGGTTCTGTTGGGGGAATGATTCATCAAAAGAACTATATTTACACTTTTTCACATATATGTATGAACAGAAATAGAAAATAAGTAATTAGATTGTATTAACATATGCACACATCTTGCAGGCATATAGTAGCAGGCTATGTTAGGAACCACTTGCTAAAAGAATTGTTTTAGGATGTTTTTTATTTTTTGTGACAGGGTCTTGCTCTGTTGCTCCAGCTGGAGTGCAGTGGTGCGATCTCTGCTCACTGCAGCCTTGACCTCCTGGGCTCAAGCAATTCTCCATCTCAGCTTCCCAAGTTGCTGGGACTACAGGCACATGCCACCATACCTGGCTAATTTTTGTGTTTTTTTGTAGCAATTTGGCTTTGCCAGGATGCCCAGGCTGGTCTCAAATTCTTGAGCTCAAGAAATCTTCCTGCCATGGCCTCCCAAAGTGCTGGGATTATGGGCATGAGCCTCTGTGCCTCACACTAAAAGAAAATTTTATATCACTTTGACAACGAAATTATAAATAGTGTCACAAGCTCCTAATTTCCTTATGGTTAATTAGTGCTAAATGGGTGATATAAGCAGTGAAATTTATACAATTTTTTCAGACTCCAAATGAATCCCCTGGTATACAAGTGTTTTAGAAATCAATTCATTAATTTCTTCTAGAATTTTGTATAATGGTCATCAACCCAATGAGTCAAGGCATGCGTCGTTAATAAAATTAATCTAGGAGATGATTTCACTAATATGAATAGAGATGAATGAATAGCCCAAAACCTCAGTGTACATGTCACCAATCTGTGTTAGTGTGGAATAATATGCATAATGGTAAATTCTTTTTAATCAGGAGACGATATTTGCAGCATATGTATCTTCTCAGGCAGAGTTTCAAACTTAGTTATTTAAAATGCTCCCCTGGTTATATATTTTTACATCTCAATAATCACCTTGTTCATTTTTATTTCTCTTCAATTCCTTTTTATTTTACTATAATAAAATGTAACACCATTTACTTTCCTCATTTGCATTTACAAATACAAAGTATGCAGAATTATAATTCTGAATTTTAAATGTTTTACCTTCAATTCCCCTTAAAGTGAGTTCACTTACTAAGCTGCCGAGTCATTGAGCTGATATTCAGATGCCCTTTCAAAGCAGGCCTGAATTCCCGGATCTCTCCACAGTCGTTTTATTACCTCAGCCAGTTGAGGCGTCATGCCACCATCTTCCAGGGAACTTGCCATTGCATAAAGTTGTCGTTGGTCCTCCTAGAACAGTGTTTTGGTAAGAATAAGAATGTATTATTTGGAATCACATATTCTGTTTTTCTAATAGAATATTTTAATGGGATGATTTTAATCTTATTCCTTTAGCTAATAATTCCCCCAAACATCTTTTCAAACTATATTGAGGTAAATAGAACTAAAGTTTCTCGTGGCTGAATGATGTCCCAAAGAGTTCTCCTTTGCAAAAACTATAAAATATTATGTGAAGCCATTAGCATATATATATATATATTTTAAGACGGGGTTTCACCATGTGGGTCAGGCTGGTCTTGAACTCCCCACCTCAGGAGATCCACCTGCCTTGGCCTCCAAAGTGCTTGGATTACAGGTGTGAGCCACCGCGCCTGGCCGCCATTAGCATATTTTGGAATTTATCACTGACTTCTGAATATGATATCAAGAATGATAATAATACTTTGCCGTACTCATATTGAGTTTGTAGAAGGTCTACATGTTATACTAAGGTAAAAGAAAAATGGACCTTATCTAATCTGGTATTTTCTTTTTTTAATCATTTGCCATGAATTTTTCTTGAAAAATAAAAATAAAAATTAGAGTAGGCTGGACATGGTGGCCCATGCCTGTAATCCCAGCACTTTGGGAGGCTGAGGTGGGTGGGTCACTTAAATCCAGGAGTTTGAGACCAGCCTAGGCAACATGGCAAAATTCTTCTTTACAAAAAAATTCGTCAGGGATGATAGTGCATGTCTGTAGTCTCAGCTACTTGGGAGGCTAAGGTGGGAGAATTTCTTGATCCTGGGAGGCAGAGGTTGCAGTGAGCAGAAATTGCACCACTGCACTCCAGCCTAGGTGACAGAACCAGACCCTGTCTCCAAAAAAAAAAAAAAAAGTAAACATGGGAAATAAAATCATTATTCTAAAATTGTATTTTTTCAAAAAATTAGTACATAATAGTTTTTTGTCATCGGTACCTCTTCATAATCATATAAAGAAAGAATGGTGAACATTTGGGTCCACATAATATTTTGGAACATCCCTGTAGGTACTGTTGATTGCATGCCTTTGGAAAGAATCAGTAGGGCAGAAGTGATAATTTTTTACGCAAAGCAAGGAATTATGGTCTTAGTCCTGTTGGGATGAGATTTGGTGGTTACCAGGCAAGAAGGAAATAGAAGTTTATTGAGTAAATACTATAGTCTGCAATTTATTTAAACTAATAATCAAAACAGTTTTATGATAAATTTTTTTAAAGAGTTTGAGTTTGAGAGTAATTAAATTGACTGTGGTAATAGTCCAGGTAAATGGAGAAATCTGAGCTCGACCTTGTTGTCAGCTTTCGAATCCAATATCCTTTCAGCTCAGAATCCTCCTGGTGCATATTATTACAAAACTGCACATACAATATCTCACACAATCCTCACAACTGTGAGACAGACACTGTATTTTCTCCATTTTACATGTGAGGAATCTGAAACTCTCAGTTTTAGAAACCAGTAAACCAGAAAATACCATAAGCATCAGAAGAGGAGTGAAACACAAGCACATTTTGTGCCATGTCAGGCTGTTACTGTTACAGGAAAGGGGTCCCTCTCCAGATCCCAAGAGATGATTCTTGGATCTCACACAATGAAGAATTCAGGGCAAGTCCAGAGAGTAAAGTGAAAGCAAACTTATTCAGGAAGCAAAGGAGTAAAAGAATGGCTATTCCATATACAGAGCAGCCCTGAGGGCTGCTGGTTGCTCATTTTTATGGTTATTTCTTGATGTTATGCCAAACAGGGTGGATTATTCATGCCTCCCCTTGTTAGAGCATATAGGGCAACTTCCTGATGTTCATGGCCTTTGTAAACTGTCATGGTGCTGGTAGAAGTGTAACAGTGAGGATGAGCAGAGGTCATTCTCATGGCCATCTTGGTTTTGACAGGTTTGAGCCAGCTTCTTTACTGCAATCTGTTTATCAGCAAAGTTGTTACAGTCGGTACCTTGTGCTGACTTCCCATCTCACCCTGTAACTTAGAATGTCTTAACTCTCTGGGAATGCAGCCTAGTGGGTCTCAGCCTCATTTTTCTCAGCTCCTATTTAAGATGAAGTTGCTCTGGTTCAAATGCCTCTGACACTACGAATGAAATATGTTCAATAAGAACTTACTGCTTTTCTGATACAATTCAGCTTATTATTATTTGAATTGACTACAGTTTTTTATACTATTTTATCAAAAATTTCCTCTGTGTACAAAATAAGGGTATGTCACTAACTGTTAAAAGAGAGACACCGTTAAGGCAAAAAAAAAAAAAAAAAAAAAAACCTTATTCTGCCTTTCTTCACAATCAGATTTTATTGTTAAAAACTAAAATGATGAGATGATCACTGGCTCAAGTATTCAACGTGTAAACCAAAAACAAGATTCTAAGTCCCCCAAGCAACAGAATTCTAAGCCCCCAACCAATAGAAATCCCTCTTGGCCAAGGGAATTCCAAAGTAAACCTGAAAAGCTAGTTCAGGCCATGATGTTAAGGGTGGGGTCAAACATGCCTCATTATGTTCTCCTCCCTTTAGAATTCAGGTACAACTCACCAGCATTAACATTAACACAGAGATCTTAGGACTGATAAAAACAGACTATAGCAATAAGATTCCAATTTCAACCTGACTCCAGGATAGAGCAGGCGCTGAAATCATTTTACCCCCAAATATGTATTTTTTGACATATGTTGAAATGGCCCTGAAAAGCTGTCTTTTGTGTGGGAAATTCATATTGTGTAAAGAATCCCCTTCCCTTTTCAGGTCCTTTCCTGATCCTGGTGAGATTAGCTGAGAGTCTAGCACTTTTTAAAGGTGTTAATAGGAAATATTTGCCATCTATTGCCTCCAAGGATGCAATATGAGACTTTATCTACATAATAAGAACCTTGGTCTCCACAGCCTTTTATCTTAACCCAGAGACTCCTTTCTATTCATTCTAGGCCTTTGGACAATAACTTAACTCTTTCAACCGATTAGCAATCAGAAAATGTTTGAAAATGTTTGAATTTCAACAAAATGTTGAAAATGCATGACCGGAAGGTTCTGCTTCAAGTTGTCCTGGCTTTCTGGACCTTGCATGTATTGACTGATATCTTCCTGTAACTTTTGTCCCCATACAATGTATAAAATCAAGTAATAACTTAACTACCTTGGGCATATGTTCTCAGGACCTTCTGAGGCTGTGCCATGGGTCATGGTCCTCACACTTGGCTCAAAATAAATCTCTTCCAGTATTTTATGAAGTTTGGCTTTTTTTGTCAACAAATGGCCAAATCAAGGCTCCACCTGATTTTCTAGCATTGACACAGGATAGATTTTTAAAACCTCATTTCTCTACTAAATGGATGTGAAAGAGAACTGCAAGTCCAGCAAAATATGCTCTGGTCACTTTTGCTAGCATCATCCTATTTGTTCCATCCACTATGAAAGTGCTATTTAGAATGAATGATGCAATGAAACAACCACTACATGGTTTTATCCCTGAGGAGAAAAAGTTATACATCTTGTCAGCCTATCTTTATAAACCAAATAAATGTACTGTTTCATTTCTTTTAAAATATTCCATTTATCATTTAAATATACTTTTGTAGAGGTATCATAAATATAGTTTTACTTTAAACATTTAAATGTTACAAAGTCTTCCTTGACCACTTCAATCCTACTACCTCCCACAAAGGCAAATTATCCTATCTGGTAAGTTTTTGTTTCTCTAGACCTTTTACTTTTTAAATTTGTGCATGCATAGGTGGAGCCCATGGTGATGATTTTCAATCCAGGCTGCACATTATAAGCATATGGGGTACCCTTAAATATACTGATGGCAAAACTGTCACCCAAACAAAATGAATCAGAATCTCTGCATGTCAGGCCCTGCAAATAAAGATATTTTTTAAAAACTTCAGGGTAGGTGCAACTGTTCTGAGTTAAGAATCTGGCAATACACAGTTGTTATTTTTTTTTAACTACAAATAACACTTTATTGAACATAGTGTATTTCAGTTCTTGATGTTTTTCTGTGCTTATTAAAAAGCTCATGTAATTTCAAGAATTAAAATCTTTAAATTTTTAGAAGTAAAAAATTTTTTAAATTTAAAATTCTTTAATGTTTTTAAGAGATTGAGCCTACCCATCAAATGTTATATATTTAAAAAAATATATAACAACAAAATGTATAGATAATACGAAAAGTTATCACCAAAATGTATAGATAAAATGAAAAGTTATCTTCCTTATAGCAGCCTGATTGAACACTTAACTTCTACTATTTTATTGTCATATTTAAAGAACTCCAGTAAATTCTCACCAAACTCAAAACTGAAAATAAAACCCAAATCCCTTATCCCTTACTGTGACTCACAAAGCTCTACATGTTTTGACCCCCTCTTTCCCTGCCCCCTTTCTCTCCTGCCCCCAAGACTCAAGATGCATCAAACAATTTGCTGCTCCTTGAATTGACCAAGCCCCCATTTCAGCTCAAACGGGTTGTTCCCTCCATGTCCTTCCTGTGGTTTACTTCCTTTTTCACTCAAGTCTCTTCCCAGTATCACCTACTCAATAAAGCCTCTGATCACCCTTTCTGCCACATTTTTCAAACGTCACCCTGTGAATTAGAGTGAGATCCCTAAGAAGTTTTATTTCCCTTGAGGTATTTAGGAAAGCTTGGGAATTACAGTGGTCCTGGCATGGCTCATTCTCTCTCTCCATCTCTCTCTCTCTTTTTTTTAAAGAATATTTCTTTTATTTATTCATTTTTTATTTTACTTTAAGTTCTGGGATACATGTGCAGAATGTGCCAGTTTGTTACATAGGTATACATGTGCATTGGTTGTTTGCTGCACTTATCAGCCTGTAGTCATTCTCTTGAGATTGTGTAACTTTGGGACTACATTGTATAGAAAATAAAATATGTATTTTCCTTACAGATTACTCAAACCTTCATCATTAATATTAGGAATCCTAGGTGGTCTTAGAACTTTGCAGAACTCATTCTGAACTTCTGAACCCTAGAGTCATATTTCCAAAGATAATGAAAATAAATCAAAATGAAGGAAGGCTATTTAGTGTACCTAGTAATGGTGAGAAATGCTAAGTTAAAAATGCTACATTTTGTTGCTACTGGGTTTTCAGAATCTTTGAGTATTAATATTGGTTGAAAATTTCCAAGTTGTTATTGTATGCATATACACCAAACAGATTTGATCACAGAACTTTAATTGTAGAACATCTTGAGGAATCAGGGCTTTTTGGTTCATATTGTAGAGTTTACTTTGTAGGGTTCTGTGTCCAAGATGGTTACAACAGCACTCAAATCATGTAGTAAAAGTGTTACAACTTTCAGCATTCTTTTATGTCAGTTGAGTGGATTCTATATGCTCTAAAATAGGATATAATATTTAAAAGGACAAGTAGAAACTTACTAAATATCTTCATAATTTTTCCTTTCCTGTTTTTTAAGTTTAACCCTCTTTTCAAGTTCTATGCTTATGACATTATAAACCTATCAAATATTAAACCACAACCAATAAAAACAAGCCCCATTTAGCTGCTTCCCCTCTAACTACAGATCGCATCTCTCTCCTATCCCTTGGCTATGGGTCCTGAAAATATTGTCCTTAACTGTACTAATAGCCTATTCTCATTTCTCCACACACTCCACTGGAGTGTGAGTCCACCAGTCTTCTGAAACCTCTCTCACTGTATTCCCAATGGCTCCATATTTCTAAATCCAGTAGATTCTATTTCATAGTCTCCTTTCTTTACCTGTCAAGATCTTTCAATGTGGCTAGTTCCCTTTGGAACACTTCTCTTGAATTCTGTGATTTCATATACTTCTGATTTTCCTTTTACTCTTCTATCCTCTCCCCTGAAGTTTCCTTTTCCTAACAAATGAGCAGAATATATTGTTTGTTTGTTTGTTTTTAATACTTTTCCTTAGACTCCATTATCCCTGATACCCCTCTCTTCTTAACCTAAGGGCTTCACCTGTTCCATTCTACTTTCTTAGTATGAATTATATGCCATAGTGTAATGGCATGTCAGTAACACCTATATTTAGATCTCTAGACAAAGTATCCATTTTGGGCTTCAAATGCACATTTGTAATTGCTTACATATGTATATATCCCATAGAACTTACAAATGCATTTCTAAAACCAAATTAATTAGTTCTTTCCATCCTCATTTAATGTTGGTGTTCCTCTTCTTAGTAATTCTTTCTATAAGCAAGGATCGAGCTCCACGTTTAGCTGCACCGTCCTTTTGAAATCGCATATTATTTGTAGTTATTTGTTAAACATCTAGCTCTCCTTTCCTGATGACAATATTATTCCATCTCAGTGACTGCTGAGCTCTCTCTACAATCCCAGTATCCAACTAAATGTCTACCACATAAATAATAGTTTCATAAAAAATAATTATTTTCAAATGAATTTGGATGTGTATATTTTAATACATAAATTTTAATGATCGTATATTCAAATAAGTATTGAGAAATAAAAATACCTAATGTTTACTGGAAACATATTCTATTATTCTATAATACTCTATATTATAGTGGATTTCTTTCTTTCTTTCTTTTTCTTTTTTTTTTTTTTTGGAGATGGAGTCTCACTGTGTTGCCCAGGCTGGAGTGCAATGGTGCGATCTCAGTTTACTGCAAACTCCAACTCCCGGGTTCAAGCGATTCTCCTGCCACAGCCTCCTGAGTAGCTGGGATTATAGGCAAGCATCACTATGCCTGGCTAATTTTTGTATTTTTAGTAGACATGGGGTTTCACCATGTTGATCAGTCTGGTCTCAAACTCCTGACCTCATGATCCATCTAACTCGGTCCCCCAAAGTGCTGGGATTACAGGTGTGAGCCACTGTGCCCAGCCTATAGTGTATTTCTTATGTTTTTGCTTCCATCTTTAAAGGTCATGGTAACTCAAGGAGGAAAGCCATAATATCCTGTGGAAGCAGACACTAAAGTTTAGAGAGGGTAACTTGTCCAAACTTACAGATCCAATTACTAATAAAGCTCATGTAATTTTTCTATCAGAACTTTCTCTCTTTGGCAATCTGTATGATCATGTGGAAATGGTTATGTAAAAGGTTATGCACTTGTATAAATAAATAGAGAGCTAATCAGAACTCCAAAAGTCACATGTTAGTAGTGGTTAGCAATCAATCTGTTAAATAAACAATTTTAAACAGGTAGAGAGTATATTAATCTCAAAATCAAATACTAGAATGCAGTTGAAACTGATCGAGTTTATATCACTTGAAATCCAAATAGGAACTATGTTGTCTCTGACAACTATGATGTTCTGATCGTTGAGGACATAGTTACTCCTGAGAAGTTATGACAGTGGCTAAGTGCTGCTAACGTTGCTCTATTTATACCATTCAATGTACAGTTTGAATAAACTGTACTTTTATTTTCTAATTAGCATGATGGCAGCAATGTGTACAGTGTATTATTTTCATTTCCCTATATGTCAAATAATTAAGACTTTTACTAATAAATCTCATGGTTTGTTTTTTTTTTTCCCCAAGACAGGGTCTTGCTCTGTTGCACAGGCTGGAGTACAGTGGCACCATTACAGTTCACTGCAACCTTGACCTCCCAGGCTCAAGGTAGCCTCACACCTCAGCCTCCCAAGTAGCTGGGACTACAGATATATGCCACCATGCCTAGCTAATTTTTTCTTCTTCTTCTTCTTTTGGTAGACACAGGGTTAGTTATATTGTTCAGACTGGTCTGAAACTCCTGGACTCAAGTGATCCTCTTGCCTCAGCCTCCCAAAGTGTTGAGATTATAGGCATGAGCCACCACATCCAGTCACTTCTCAGGTCTATAGTGATTAGGGTATCACAGTTTTACAAACTCTGGGCCATATGAAGGACACAGTATATTTAAATACGTAGCAATAGGCAAGGTTGTGATTTCCAACTTGTCTGATACAAATGCACGGAATATCATATTGTATCTATAAATTTAAACATCATTAAGGCATTCTCAAAGGAATTCAGAAGGTATATCTATTTTAGTACTATTATTGCCTAAGAGAAAAAAGTAAAATAAGTATTTGTAATCATTAAATCCTTTAATAGTGAAAAGCCACCATCATGGAATCCAGAAGTGGATTTTTGCCATAAACTCTAGCTACTTAATGTAAACCAACTAATCTTCTTTGAGCCTTTTTTTTTTTTTAAATTAAGGTGGTTATACTTGTTGTTTCTTAAGAGCCCATTTAAAATCCTAGGTTCTTAGGAAAAGCCAAGGTCAGATCCATAATTGAACTACACTTAAATAAGAACATTGTCACTAAGTCACAGAGATAAAGAATAAAAGGATCTTGGAGTTCAGCTCCTCCAAATTCCCTTTTACACATGAGAGGGAAACTGTAGCCAGAGAAATAGGTTGGAGCAGACTGGGGAGAAAGCTAGAAATGGGAATCAGTAAAATACCTGACTCCCTGCTTTATAAACTATCTGCCAGAAGGGCATACTTAGCATTTCCTTGTTCTTTGAAGAAAAGTGACAGGAGAAAAGGGGGATTTACCCCTTCCTTTAACGTTAAGAGCATGGAAAAGGCTTTGTTGTTTTCATCGTAATGATTTCCAGTGGTCATTTACAAGGTCCAGTGGCCATTTACCAGGTCCACTAAACTGAGTGAGGGAGTTCAAATGACTCCTCTTCCTTTATCCTTACTGTGCTTTTGCTCTCTATTTTTATTGTTCCTATAGCAAGGTTTCCAGGAATTACTTTGGTAGGAATTCAACTGGCATCCTTTGGAGGTAACCAAATGCCCAGCTGTTCCTGGAGGAGACATATGGAAATGAGTGAGTTCTTCTTGTAGATTCTACTCAGTTACTCTTTTTTTGGGTGGGGTCAATTTGGATAATACTGTCAGTTTTATTTGCCAAGTAATTCTATATGTTTGGATATAAACTTTCAAAATAAGTGGATTTCAAATATATTTTAATGTAAAAACTTATATAGCAAAATATAAAGTAGGGAGAAAATAAAATTATTTTGTTTCTACCTTACAAACAGAATTATGAGTACTTTGAATATACTTAATATACAAGCATTTGCTTACTTCTACAATTTGAATTCACTTTTTAAAAAAGCTTAGTGTTATAAAATAAGCATTTCCCTGTTGCCACAGACTTGTAATCATCATCAAACATTAATCATAATTGTTGTGTTATTATTAAGCAACAACTAGTCTCTTTGAAATGACTCATAACTAAAAAAATTAATCTAGAGATATGGCAAATTGTGTTTATCCCATAACCCTTTTGTATTTAGCAAGCGCAAGCAATACTTTTATTTGTTATAGTGTATTATTTGATATTAAGTTTAATCCTCAGGAAAGCGACTAATGTTGAATAATATATTATTCAGTAAAAAAGTTTCACTTCAAGGAAAATGAGAAATCTTACATTAAATGGAATTAATGCTTCAAAATTCATATTTCATATTTTAAAATTTTGGATATAGATTAATACTATGAACTTATCAAGTCCTATTATTTTATGGCCCAACCTCTATTGTGGGACTTACAGTGGTTATTATTTGCATACTTACTGCACTTCTGGGATTTACATAATCAATCCCAAGGGTAGTCATGGCTTTCACAATAGCTAGGATGGATTGCAATGTGTTGCTGTAAATTACTGCTTTGAACTCCATGCATTCTTGCTCACTGTAACCATTCTTATGGATGATCCTATAATTTAAACATGAAAAGTTTTGTGAGTTGAATAATTGCTTGTAACACTAAAGCACATCAAAATAAATTGCTTGAGTAAAATTATAGTATATATCATTAAAAAGGAATTTTGACCATATGCATATGCTAAATCTGAACACTTTTATGCCTTTGGACTTCTATTATCATTGTCATTTATACAATGTTTTCTTTCTTGGCTATCCATGATAAATATAATAGGACATAGGAGTTGTTATTTAAAAATACTTATTAAAAATGGGTAAATCATAAGCATTATACTTTGAAAGCCCTTTTTTTTTTAAGAGAAAAATTTCTAGATTCCCAGGACAAAGATATATACAGAGTTCTGAAAGTTGACCTTGTGTTTACAACCCGATGTCTAGAGGAAGTGAAGTCATTTAGATCATTCATGTCTTTTCCTATCATTCTGGAAAATAGGAGTGCCTGCTTTCTATTTACAGCATTAACAAAGGCATTTTTTTAGTACAGGTAATTGCCCTCTGTTAAATCTCTTGACAGTTCTCCATCTGTGTACGTGCCACTGAGTTATAAAAGTTGAAACGCTCGACATTTTATTTGGCTGAACTCTTCTCTACCTTCCACTCATTCAGTCAAAATCAAGATTTTACTAGCAGTTTTGGAATAATCACTTAAAATAGATTTACCTATCAAAAGCTAAAATCATTACATGTGCCAGTTATGTATTTTTGCATTTTTATTGTAGAATATGTTTTTGTTTCTTTTTGTTTTTTCTTATTGTTTTGAAGTGCTTTGTATTAATTAGGCATCTTTCTGGATGTCATCTTACCAAAGATTTATATTGTGTCTACACGTATAAAGGCTTTAGCATAGGGGGAAGAACACAAATGCATCTTTAATGTCTTTGAAGTTATTAGAACCTTCATATTCAAGAAATCTGAACTGAAAGGAGTAAAGGCAGGACCTATATTTATTACATGTTATTTTTTTATATTTGATTACCAATCATTTCTGAATTTCTACTTTAAACATGGCTATGTTTGTCCTGCTGCCTTAAACCATTAAGTAACTTAAATAAGTAAATAAATAAAACAGACAAAGGCTGTAGAAAAAAATGCAGTAAAATATCTTTATGGATAGATCAGGAATAAGCTTATTAAAGAAATCCCAGTTTTCTGTCAAATTGAACTTGGAAAATTATTTTAATTATTAAATTAAATAGGTGAGTAAACATGGATATTGATTTTCTTCATGAAACAAGTTCTGACTGTTATCAGAAGACAAGGAAGCATTTATCACAAAGCAAAATAATAAAAACAGATGAAAAGATGTCCAGTTGAAGTGGGACTTTAAACAAACATCATTTTTTCCAGGCGCTGCATATGTAAATTTCTGTGAGATAGAGCACTCCAACTCCTTAGATGCTTCCTAGGTCTGTTGAAATTAATAGGCTTTTACTGGGCATTTTCGGTGACATACTATGTTATGTGTTAAAGAGAATACATCATGTAAGTCCCTTCTTTCCAAAACCATAGACTGGAGCTCCACTGTATAATATATTAGTCACTGGCTGATTAATTAAAATTAAATAAAATTAAAAATTTAGTTTCTCAATCACACTGTCAACATTTCAAGTGGCTATTAAAGCCACATGTGGCTAGCAGTTGCCATATTTCAAGACAAAATAGAGAACTTTCCTATCACCACACAGAGTTCTGTTGAAGAGTACTGGTTATAAGAAGGCAGAGCATATAAAGAGATTTTTGAACATTATGATAATGTATAGGAAGAAACTCTGCAGGTAGTAAGATGCTATAGAAAAGAAAAAGTGACAAACTCTATTAGAAGTGGTTATAAAGATCAAAGAAGACATCCTGGAAGCAGTGATAATCAGCTGATTGTTCAAGGAGAGTTATTCCTAGATGATCAAAAGGAGAGAGAATCATCCTAGGCAGAAAGATCAGTATGAGCAAATAGATGCTTACAATTATCAAATGTTCAATATGTGTCAAGCCCTGTTGTATGTGCTTCATCTATCTTATCTTCTTATTTATCACAAAAGCCCTTTAAAGTAGATACAATTATGATCTATATTTTATAAATAAGAGATGTCAGCAATACCCCCAACCTATTCAGTTATTGTGTGTTACAGCTGGGCCACAAACACAATCTGATTTCAGCTCATGATCTTAGCCCCAAAGCTCAGCCTTCTACAGTGTGCTAGTCTACAGACTTAAAAAAGGTCAGCATTAGTGAAGCAGGAAGTAGGAGGGGAGAAATTACAGGACAGTAGAATAAAAACATCAGCAAGAATTGGACTCCAGTGCTTGTGTGCCAGGACAAGGCGACTGATCTTGATAACACGGGTGAAGAGTTGAATTCAGGAGATACAATCAGCTTTAAATGAATCAGTTCGTGGCAGTGTGGATAATGCAATGAAATGAAGGGAAGGGAGGTAGACGCTCCTTAGGAAGATACTGAAATAATCTAGGTCAGAAATGACGAGGTTTTGAAGTAAAGCAGTGAAGATAATTGGCGTGTTGGAGACAAATTATGTAGATGTGGCATGACTTAGTGAAAGGGTGAAGGGTTAGCATAAAGACACTGAGATTTATTGCATTGTAGGCTGGTGTTGTAATTAATGTTAGGGCAATAGAGTCCAGATGAGAGATAAGTTTGTTTATTCTGATTTGGACCTAGCCAGATAATATAGCAGTAGATGTATCCGCCGCTCTAGTTTAGACAAAATGTGTGAGTTTGAAAGAAATATTCTGAAACAGTTGGCTTGAAGATTCTAGTGAAAATCATAGAAATCCAGTAATTTTCATTTGATGAAGGTACAGAGTAAGAGAAGTACCAGTGTTTCCTGGCACATCAGATACACAAACATTTTAAATGTTCAGAACATTTTACACGAACATTTTAAATATTCTTCTATCTCGGATAGAAGAATAAAGGAGATAGAGTTAGCCAACCTGAGAAAGAGTTATAGAAGCTGAAGAAAAGTTTTTAAAGGGAAAAGTGATGTCATGTGGAATTAATGTAAGGACTTAAGAAGACTTCATATAAAATGGCTATTCAGAGATGATATAATAAATAATCTTTGTAAGGGCAACTTCTGCAACTTACCAGAGGCAAAAGTGTGATGCAAATAAGTAGAGAGAGTTAACTTCGATTATTCTTCTACTGAGAAAAGGAAAGATAAGGCAGAATGAGGAGACTTGCTCTTTTTACATAATAAGAGAAAGAAGTGCTCATTGTAGAAAATGTGAAAAGCCTAACAATATTAAAAGCAAAGGTGCTTTAAACTTTAAATTCTACTATTGAGAGAAAAATTATTTGAACACTGGTGTATGTTCTTTCATTTAAAAAGTATCTATTCAATCATACTTGAGATTAAGATGTTCATGCTCCAGGTGCAGTGGTTTACAGCTATAATCCCAGCACTTTGGGAGGCTGAGGCAGGTGGATCACTTGAAGTCAGGAGTTTGAGACCAGCCTGGCCAACATGGTGAAACCCCCATCTCTACTAAAAATACAAAAATCAAACAAAAAAAATTAACTGGGCATAATGGCAGACTCCTGTAATCCAAGCTACTTGGTAGGCTGAGGCAGGAGAATTGCTTGAATCTGAGAGGTGGAGGTTGCAGTAAGCCGAGATTGTGCCACTGCACTGCAGTCTGGGCGACAGAGCAAGACCATTTCTCAAATAAATAAAATAAAATATAAAATGTTCATGCAATTTTGTATCCCGGTTTTTTAGTTAACGGAGCATTTTCTCATATAAAAACCTTCTCAAATACATGAGATTAATACATGATTTGTAATAGTTATATAATATGGCTACTGAAGAATGAATAGTTCTATAACTTTGCAACCTAATTGCTTATGTTTCATTTTAATTTGTGGTACTTTATTCTATCCCATATTTTATTATCTTAAATAGTGATATAAGTCTTTATACAGGCTTTTATATTTTATATTTTGAATTACTTTATTTTCACACTTTTGCATATTGTTATTTTATTTTTGAGAATTATCAGAATCATATTTAGAAGATCAATAATTGCAATTTTCCCAGCTTACTATATATATTACAACTATTTTTTTATAAATTTTCAGTAACATATAATTTTATAAGTAACAATTAACAATATGCAGTTCTCAAAACCTCATTCTTAGTAGGTAATATTATTTTTAAATTATTGTTTGTCAAATTTACTACAATGAAAAATTACCTCATTGATTGATTTTTAACTTTATAATTAATGAGGTTACCCTAAAATACATTATCTATTGAATTTTGGCATTTGTGAACTCTCTGTTCATAGCCTATCCCCATTTATGTATATTGGGAAGCTTATTGTTTTACTTAGCAATCTATGGAACTTTGTATACTAGTCACCAATTAATTATCTATCATATTTATTATAAAATTTTTTCTAGTTTTCTAATTTTGGTTTAATTTTTTATGGTTTACGATATTTAAAAGTTTTAATTTTTACATAGCCAAATAATGGGTATTTTTTTTTTTTAACTTAAGCTAGCAGAGAATGGAGAAATGAAAAAAGATAAGAGAGGTTCAAGCATGGTCATAGCCTGGGAGACAAGAGCAGGCAGACACTGTGATAATGTTATAAATGAATGCCAGATGACTTACTTGCAAGGATGGACCTGAAATCTCAAAAATAGTATAATCCCAGGGAAGAGAATAAAGGAGCTCTATTTTTCAGAGAAAGTAGGAAAGATCAAACGTTTGGTTGCAGATAAGTGAAGCTTAAATATTGGTTGATATGAAACTTACATTACATTATTACATAAAAGAAAAACAGTGGCTTAGACTGAGACCAGTTCCATTATTGACTGGCAGACATAAAGTATGTCCCTCATAAAGTATGTCCCAAAGAACAAGATCCTTTAATACATAACTTAAAAATATACTCAAAAATGGTCCTCCTTTTCTCCATCCTCCCTTTTTCTCCTCCTCTTCCCTCCTCCTCCTCTTCCATCTTCCTCTTCCCTCCTCCTCCTCCTCCCTTCTCCTTCCCTTTCTTCCTTCTCCTTCTGCTGCTATTACTGCTGCTTCTGTTTCTTCTTTTACTTCTTGTTAGCAACAATTATCCTTTAAAATTCTCTAGCAGTAACAGAGCCAGGAGGTTTCACCCATTTACCTTTACTTATCAATTACCATTGTGTTCAGGTGGACATTGCATTCTTGAGTTATGGCATTTTTGTTTTTATTATTTTCATATTAAGGAATTCAGGTCTAGTTATTTCATTTTAAAAAGGAAAAAGAGAAAGGAAATGCAAAAATACCTCAAAATTCATGATTGTAATTAAGCATTTAATTCTCAGCTAGGCAAAATGCCAATGAGATTAAAAACAATGTTTTCTCAATGATTCAGGTGGATCATTGATTGACATATTTTTAAATATTTACAGTTAATACTCACATTATAAAGTCCTTGATATTCCCAGATTAATATAACCAAAATATAATGCTTCAAACATTTGTCTTGTTGAGAGCCACATTTTTTAAAAATGGAAATTATAATATTATTCATCTGCAACATTTTCTGCTAAAGAATGCAAGGTATATTTGCACAGGAACTATGACCACTCTGCTATGACCCATGATTTAGAAAAGACTGTCAATCAGCATTTGCAAAAGCATGTATTTTAAGAATGGTCAAATACATGGACAGACATCAAATATTAAACATTTGAGACAGTTGTGTACCTACTTCATTTGTTTAACAATAGTACTTTTCCCAGATTCTCCCGCTCCTGCAACATAAAAAGAGAATATTATTAACTGATATACCAAATTTGTATAGATATTAAAAGCTAACTATCACTTTTCATAGAGAATCTTTAAAATTTTTTTTGTAGGCTTAGGGGGTACACGTGGAGTTTTGTTACATGCATATACTGTGTGGTGGTGAAGTCTAGTCTTTTAACGTACCCATCATCTGAATGTGTACATTGTACCCAACAGGTAATTTTTCATTCCTCACCCCCTCGCATGCTCCCACCTTTACAAGTCTCCAGTGTTTATTATTCTACTCCGTATGTCCATGTGTATGCATTGTTTAGTTCCCACTTATAAGTGAGAACATGTGGTATTTGACCTTCTGCTTCTGAACTGTTTTACTTAAGATAGTGGTCTCCAGTTTCATCCATTTGCTGCCAAAGACATGATTTTGTTCTTTTTCATGGCTGAGTAGTATTCCATGGTGTGTGTGTGTGTGTGTGTGTGTGTGTGTGTGTGTTTGTGTCCAGTTTTCTATTTATGGGCACTTAGGTCGATTCCATGACTTTGCTATTATAAATATTGCTGCAATAAACATACAAGCTCAAGTGCCTTTTAATAATAATATGGGCTGGGCATGGTAGATCATGCTTGTAATCTCAGCACTTTGGGAGGCCAAAGCAGGTGGATCACCTGGGGTCAGGAGTTTGAGAACCACCTGACCAACATGGAGAAACCCGTCTCTACTAAAAATACAAAATTAGCTGGACGTGGTGGTGCATGCCTGTAATTCCAGTGACTAGGGAGGCTAAGGCAGGAGAATCACTTGAATCCAGGAGGTGGAGGATGTGGTGAGCTGAGATTGTGCCATTGTACTCCAGCCCAGGCATCAAGAGTGAAATTCCATCTCAAAAAATAATAATAACAATACATTTTCCTTTGAGTAGATATCCAGTAGTGGGATTGCTGGATCAAATGGTTGTCCTATTTTTAACGCTGAGAAATATCCATACTGCTTTTCCATAGAGGTTGTATACTAAGTTACATGCCACCAACAGGGTATACGCATTCCCTTTTCTTGACATCCCTGCTATTATCTGTTGTTTTGTGACTTTTTAATAACAGCCATTTTGACTTTGTGTAAGGTGATCTCTCACTGCAGTTTTAATTTACATTTCTCTGATGATTAGTCTTAGTGAACGTTTTCTTACGTGATTGTTAGCCATTGGTATGTCTTCTTTGAAAAATGTCTGTTCATGCCCGCTTTTTGATGGGTGATTTGCTTTTTTCTTGTTGAGTTTGAATTCCTTGTAGATTCTGGATATTAGTCCTTTGTTCGATGAGCATAGTTTGCAAATGTTTTCTCTCATTCTGTAGGTTGTCTGTTTACTCTGTTGATTATTTATGTGCAGAGCTTTTTAGTTTATCCCATTTGCCTATTTTTGTTTGTTACATTTGCTTTTGAAATCTTAGTCACAAATTATTTGCCTAGGCCAATATCCAGAAGAGTTTTTCTTCTAGGATTTTTACCATTTCTGGCCTTAAGTCTTTAAATCATCTTGAGCTAATTTTTGTATGTGGTGAGAGATATAGGTCTAGTTTCATTTTTCTGTATATGGCTAATTTTTTATTATGGAAAACCTTTAACAGATACTCTCCTGGTGTATCTTCAAAAGCAAACATTATATACTGTCAAGGAAAATAATATATTACTGCATTTGAATATAATTTGGGAAGCTTGTATCTCCTGGCTTTGCAACCCCCCAAAAATTGGTCCTCAACTTCATAGTCTCTAGATTACTCTCATTCTCCCAGAATGTCTTCTCATATACACTATTGATTGAATAGCAAGAAAAAATACCCAACAACTAGGTAATAACCTTTGATTTTTCAGAATAGTACAAAGTCTATTGTCATTGGAGGATGGGAACTTGTCTCCAGCATCCCATTTACCTTGGTATATAGATGGTATCATGGCTTCAGTTTTAACAAAGGAATGTGGCTAATAACACTAAGTAATTCTAAGGAGCCTGCAGGTAAGAATCAATATGGGAGTATTTAAAAATGAGAAGGAGCAGGGCCTGGGCAAAGGAGGAGCTGGCAGTAATATTATAGAAAAACGTGTTGCATTTATCTGGAACAGCTGTTTTAGTTGATGATATGTAATATAACACTTTATTTTGTTATCTAGTGAACTTTATAAACATCATGTACAGGAATACAAAATGCACATTATGAAAGATAAAACATAAATTTCTCGTGAAAAATCAGTGGTTGCTTCATGCTATGCCTCAAGTTGTTTTCAGGACATTATTTGAGTCTACTTTGTTATTAAGGCATTTTTTTAATTTTTAAAAGTTTTTTGGAAATGAAAACTACAAAGTACTGAAGTAAAGTGTAATGATCTAGGCTTAAGTGTTTTTTCTGTCCTTGTATGTGTGGGTGAGTGCATGTGCGTGCATGCGTGTGTGTGTGTGTGTGTGTAATATCTTTAGTAAATCTTTTAACTCCTTAATTTCCTCACCTATTAGCTAAGAATCTCTACTTCACAAGATTATTAGAATACTCTCGACATCATAAGCATATAATTGTTTGCAAACTACAGTGCAAAATCAAACATAAAACAATGTTAATTGAGAACACAGCATCCAAAACACTTTGCCTTTTTTCATGAAGAGAAATCTAATGTTATTGTAGATACGCTACATGTATTCAGCAAATGATGCTGGAGCAATTGAATATCTACATGAAAAAAGAATACTGACTCACATCACAATATACTAAAAATTAATTTGAAATGGCTTATAAACTTATATATAAAAACTAAAGCCATGAAAGTTCTAGAGAAATAGTTGAAATATCTTTGCAACCTTGAATTCACCAAAATTCTCTTAGATAATGTATAAAACACTGAACCAACAAAAAGTAAAAATATAACAAATTGGACTTGATCAAAATAAAATGAAAAAGGATAAGCCACTGACGAGGAGAAAACATAAATTACATGTTTATCAGACACAGGCTAGGGACCCAGTAGCATAAATGCAATGGGGCTTGGGAGGATTAATATAGAGATGTTTCAAATGATTAATAGTGCAGGAATGTGGCTGGGTGCAGCAGTGGCTCACACCTGTAATCCCAGCACTTCGGGAGGCTGATGCTGGTGGATCATGAGGTCAGATCAAGACCACTTTTGTCAACATGGTGAAAGCTTGTATCTACTAAAAATACAAAAAATTAGCTGGGTGTGGTAGCATGTGCCTGTAATCTCAGCTATTGGGAGACTGACTCAGGAGAATTGCTTGAACAAGGGAGTCAGAGATTGCAGTGAGCCAAGATTGTGCCAATGCACTCCAGCCTGGGTGACAGAGCGAGACTATGTCTACAAATAAATAAATAAATAAATAATTTTAGAAAGAGTGAAGAAATGCCATATGAAAACACTAAAAATATGACTCAAGAATTAAAAAGTGAATTCGATGAAAATTACTGCAATATGTAAGGTATGGAAAGAATTAAAACAAATCTTAAAATTTTGACTTATCTATGAATCTTAGATGTGGGATGTGGGGGAGGAGTAAATTCAGGCAACTTGAAGTTTGAAAGTTCTGGATTTACAGGCAGTAGAAAAGCAGGAATTCACCAAAAGTGGCTAAGATCTGATAATAAAAGTTAGTTCATAACAATTTTAGATAAAATAAGTTATAAATATCTAAAGTGTTATTGCAGGAAAATGCAGTATTTTATAATTGATATGAAATCATATCTTTAGAATGTGTCTTCAGGCTACAACCAAAACTTACCAGCAGAAATATGATCTTGACCTACATTGACCAAGGGCCTAATCTAAAATAATGGTTTTTGAGAACAAATTTTTATGTCTGTAGAAGAAGCAAAGGTCTTCATGTATTACTGGCAGTTCCAAAAATTAAGTCACAGGACATCTTTGACGTCTCAAGGTATCTTGGACAGATTTTAAATTAACACAATTAAGGCAATTTGGAGATTCCCCAGGAAAATCCCAAATTCAGTAAAACTGGTAGGCATAGACATATCCTTGACTACTCATTGTAGTCAACAGCCTCATTTTACTAAAACTAGCAAAATTTTATGTAAGCCAAAGTAGTATAACTTTTGGTAACCCCAAGTCCCCACTTTTCTTTGTTGTTTTGATATTTGTTTTTTGAGACGGAGTCTCGCTCTGTCACCCATGCTGGAGTGCAGTGGCAGAATCTCGGCTCATTGCAACCTCCATTTCCTGGGTTCAAGCCATTCTCCTGCCTCAGCCTCCTAAGCAGCTGAGATTGGCATGCACCACCACACTCGGCTAATTTTTATGTTTTTAGTAGAGATGGGGTTTCACCATGTTGCCCAGGCTGGTCTTAAACTTTTGGCCTCAAGTGATCTGCCTGCCTCAGGCTCCCAAACTGCTAGGAATACAGGTGTGAGCCACCCCACATGACCCAAACTATTTAAATTTCTAACTCAACTCTTGCCCACTCGGCCTTCATTTCCATATTCGACCATTACTTTTTTTTAAACTCTTTTCTTCTTCTACATGCTTATGAATATTTCATATATCATTTACATTTTGTATATCATTTAGAACATCTTTCATCACTGCAAGATTAATTTCACATTGCAAAGAATCTTTGTTTCATTCACTGATTTAGCCAAAGCACCTAGAACAGTGCCTAACTCAGTAGTAGAATCTTAAAAAAAGCAAATGAATTCTTTGACTCATGCTTCAGAAATGAGATTTTGTCCTTTGCACTATATATCATTTTTTTCTCACTGAAGCGTTTCTTTTCTTAAGCCTTGATGAACAGATATAGCTACATCTAAATTTAATTCTATTCAGGACAATCTTTTTTTTTTTTTTTTTTTGGCCATAGCATACATTTACATACATATGTAAATGTATCTAGTTTCTGCAGTTGTCTGAAACAGCTGTCCACCTTATGTGATAGTGAGGAAAAAGGAGTGGTAAACCCATGGGAAATAATGTTTCATTGCCTGGTGATGATATATAGAT